TCCACAAAGTCAAAACATCTTCACAGGCTCATCTACAACACATAGGAATCTATTCCTCCTCTTTGTTTACCAGTCAAATGAACTAGTCAAAGACTGCTCTGAGACATACTTTAGAAGTAAATGTTAGGAAGAACAGCCTGTTTCCAGTCCTTCAACAATCAGTGGGAGCCTACCACAATGCTCACAGAAAGTAGGCTAGCACAGGTTGGGGCCTACGAGCTATCGTTAGCTTTACACCAAAGCAATTCTTGTACTCATCTGTCCTTCCAAGCTCAGTCATTGGGTTGGGAACTGGCCAGAGTACACCTCACCCCAGCTGCATCTTCCTCCCTCTGGCCCACCTTAAGAAATAGGGGAGTCAGGTTTTATCCGGGAGGGTTCTTTGAATTTTTTAAAGTTCTATACGATGTTTTATTTTATTTTTATGAAGTTTTTATAATGTTCTGTACATTAAAAAAATAAACAGAAAGATCACTATAAACTATTATTAGAAGTTATTATTGGTGATATCATTTGTAAGAAGTTATTAAAGCTATATGTTAGAGATTTCTCCAGAGTGAGCAATTACAGTTATTAAGGTATGATTAAACCATTCCATCGATATGAAATATAAACCTTAGCTAGTAATTAACCATAAATGATTTTTTAAATTTTTTAAAAAGTGGCCAAGTCTATCTCTATCTATCTACCCCTCTCTGCCTGCCTGTCTATCTATAAATAGATCAGAGCATATAATGAAAATTCTCACTACTCACCCATCCACATTTCTGTGAATACATGTATCAAATCTCCACTAAGAGAAATTGAAGGAGATGCTCATAGCAATCTCACAAGGAGATAGACATGTGCAAAATATACAAAGGACAACAGGAAAGAATATGGGGGACAAGGAAAGACACAAGTAAAAGCCCAATGACGACAAGCTCATTGTAGAAAATTGGACCCCTATCATAGTGGTTAAAAGTAGCCTCCTTAAAACTGTCTCTGGTTAAGATGAGATCCTGAGGGTTGGAGATGGTCACTGAGACATGACCTCTACGAGCACACAGGTCAGCAGCCGCTAGATGTAGCTTGTGTGCCCAAAGGGAAAGTCATATCCAATTCCAGATCTCCCTTCCTTTTCTCATGCCAGATAAGCTCCAAACTCCCGTTTCAAATCTCTGCTAATTCTTGTGTAGATGCCTAAATTCAAACACATCTTTGATTCTCAGATTTTATCCAAGCTGGTGGTGCCCCTGCCTGCAGTATTTCCTTCTCTGGCTGCTAGCATGTCCTGTCCAACCTCGAAGACTCAGTCCAGAGGCCCTTCCCTGGCCTCTCTGCCACCCTCTCTGGCCCCAAGGCCCAAGGCTTCTCCCTCCACCTTCACATTACCCTGGGAGTCTTCTCTGATATGTCTACTGCATAGGACTCCTGTCACCTGTGTATCTGGGAGTGGTGTCCAAAATATGGACCAACTGACGTAGCTCAGGCACTGCCCTCTCAGGAGCTGCCATGCAGGGACCTCCGGTGCTGCCGTCCACAGAGACCACATGGCAGACTGGTGAGAGCTGACTGTCTACCACAAGGCAACAACCATTTTAAAAAGAGGGGCTGTGGGCCCTCCCTAGTGGTGCAACGGGTTAAAGCAGAGCACTGCAAGCCAGCTGCATCTGCTTCAGTATGAGTTCGATCCTCAGCCCCAGAGGTGACCCACATGGCGGGCAGACCTCTCCTGGACTGCCCGCTGCTGCTCCTCTCAGCAGTATACTTCATAGATCTGCCTGTTCTGCTTCCCACACTTCTCTGGTGAAGCCTTTCACTGCCCCTGTACCCCAGTTCTGTTTGCATAAATAAATCTTAAAAAAAAAAAAAAAAGTGGGGCTGTGACCATGCTCACTGAAATAAGCCAGAAAGAAAAAGAAAAATACCAGATGGTTTCACTCATAGTAGGAGCATAAGGGATTGGGGTGGGAGGAAGGGAAAGAGACAAAAAAAAATGTATTAGAGTAAAAATGAAAACGATGAACAACTATAAACCAGAGATATTTTATAGGGGTGGATGGGAAAATGGGATCGGAACGGGGGTGAGAAGAGTGCAGGGACTGGTGATGGCACACAGGTGAATTAGTGGCGGAAAGCCCATGGGGATTACAACTGAAATGAAAAAAAAAAAATGCACAAAATGAAGAACGATGTAAAAAAATAAAAACTATAATAATAAAAAAGAGGGGCCATGATTTATTCATTGATGTATCACACATACATGACATATATTTCATAAAGATGGATTTAATAAATAAATCTAAGGTTGCATGAAGAAAGACAAAACCGGAAGGAGCTTGTGATGAACAGAAGAGCACTGTTCAAGTTACCTCCTCACACAGATGTCCACACTAACGCCTCTGAATTTGTACCTGTGTACTTGGCAGCCCAGACAAAATGCAAAAGAAAATTCTATCTGGGTTTCCAGAAGTTAAAAAAAAAAAAAAAAAGTCCCAGGATTAATTCCAGTCAATTATAAGACTTGTAACCTTCAGGAAGCGCCCCCCCCCCAAGCTTTGTAAACCCACCTTTCTACACACTTCCACTCCCACAAATTCTTACTACTTTTTGAAAAAATGTAACCAGTTCAACAGTTGATATTTTTAAAAAGTTGTTGAATTATGATAGGTCTCTCTTGCATTACTGGAGGTTAATTAAAACAGCTGAAGCTTATTTTAAGACCACATAACTGATGAAAATTTCTCTTGGGACATCAAAATTAAAACAGAGGCTAGAAAGTCTTCTGCAAAATTACACATCAGCCTCTGTCTCCAGACATCAATGATGCTGTGCAGACTGAGAACCAAATAGCTCCCTGTGGAAAAACCATTCTAAGGAGAACACTCTCGGAAATCTAGACCCTAGATATTGTGCTTGTGCTGTTTCCATCAGGGCTCCTCCCTGACACGTCCAGTGGCATGAGCTGTTTTATATCCTGGACTCAGCGTTCACAACTGAGTGCTGAATATGCTATCTCAGCCTTTCTATATATTGGCTGTTCATGGAGTTTCTCATGAGTCTGAGAGGGAGGGAAGGGGAGAAGGAGACAGAGAGAGAGATCGATTCCCAGAAGTGCCAGCCATCCTATAGCAGTAAAATATTCTTTTAATCAAAACTTAGTTGTGCTACATGAAAAAGAAACAAAATCATTCAAGATGAAGGTGTAAGGATAAGTTAGTTCATTCTATTGGAGGAGATGATTTTGCAGTTATGAAAAATTAAAGGAAAGGATAGTCCTGTGGGTTGGGGGAAGGAAATAATCTCTGAGTTCTTGCAGTAAAGCACATATTCTACCATTGAGTGGTTGTCTGCAGGAAGGTTTATAGGGGAAAGCATTTGATAAACACAGAGACAAATAATTCTGTCTCAAGCTGTGGATAAAAAAGAGGACCAGACACTAACAGCTTGATTTTATCATGACTCTCCAGAGAGCTCATGTACACAGGTAGAGGTAAGTTCTGCTGGCCTTTAACTCGCCTGAACTGCTTCTGTGCAGGTCTGTGAGACTGTAATTACCTTTTGAAAGTGAGCATCAATTAACAAATTGGCCATAATGCAGGCAAATCTGGAGAACTCAAATGTGGGCATGGAAATTTGCTTTGTTTTATCTTGTGTACCTGACACATATAGGAGCAAAGGATGCCCTTTCTTAATTTTTGTTTCTCTACAACATATTACTAATATCTTCCATTTTATCAAGCTACACATTTCACCATATTGCCCATTTTTCTAGATTAAAATTAAATCCAGGGCCTTCCCTGGTGGCGCAAGGGGGTAACACACTGAACTATGAAACTATCCGCAGCCACTGCAACGTAAATTCAATCCCCAGCCAGGGAACTGACCCACATGGCAGAGCAGACCACTCCTGACCTGTCTGCTGCTCCCCTCAGCAGTGGATTTCAGTTGATTTCCCTCTTCTTCTCCCTACTCTGTCTCTGGCGAATCCCCTCACCACCACCTACTTTCCCACCCCCCACACCTTTGGCCTATATCCCAGTTCCTGTATGAATAAATAAATAAATCTTTTTTCTAAATAAATAAAATCCAGCAAACTATTTCCATGAAATTATTGGGGCTTTAAGATTTAGGTTTTCCTCTAAAAAGTTTGTAGAATCTGCTTTTTGACTGATCAGGCATGCAGGAAAGTCTGAGTCAATATGGACCCAACAAACCAAGGTCTAAGCATACTAAGTGCATAATAAAATTTGGGTGTTAGAAACCTGCATGGGGAAAGAAAGTCTGTAGTGGCTTACTTTATTGATCTCTTTATCATTTTTCCTTGGCCCCTAATGTGTTAATGTCCTGGCACAAATGCATTATAATGGCAGATGTCAGACTATCGCGGCCCATTCATTATTTTCATTCATTAAAATAGTTTCTGTCATGAAGATGTCCTATGGAATTAGAGATCCAATGGGAAAGAAAATCCTGAAAAAGTAAAATCTGCAGAGTCAGATCCGCATAAGAACAGCTTAAGAATGAAAAGTTAAAACTAGTGTGGACATAATGGACCCCGAGGGTAACTGAGGAGGGAGAGGCCCTCCCGGCAGGGCCAGTGCTCCCACCCTAGTCCCAGCTCTCTTTCATCTTGCTTTTATAGCTCCCATTGCATCATCAGAGTTATCTAGACACCACACCAAAACAGGCTGACAGGCGTGTGTGGGTTGCCTAATTACAGTAACCTGAGATTTGGCCACTTGGGAGCCAGTTTTCTCTTGATGAAGGAAGGCCTACTAATGATTTGTATAATCATCAGTATCATTATTAATACCTCAAAGGCAACCCCACCCAGAAAGGTTGGCGCTGGTGGGACAGGGCATGGGTGGGGTCAGTGTTTACCTTTAAATGCCCATCATCACAGGATGCTCTGCTCAGTGGAGGCAGTTGTGCAGTGTTTTCAGCCTGTTCATCTTCTCTCTTGCACACCACAGTCTGGTATCTACAGATCTATCTGGAATACTGTGGTGAGCACCATGACTGATGACGAGCTGTCTGCCTTGGTGGTAGATAATGGGTCAGGGATGTGCAAGGCAGGCTTTGGGGGTGATGATGCCCCCCGGGCAGTGTTCCCCTCCATGGTAGGGCGTCCGCGGCACCAGGGGGTCATGGTAGGCATGGGCCAGAAGGATTGCTATGTGGGGGATGAGGCCCAGAGCAAGAGAGGCATCCTGACCTTGAAGTACCCCATTGAGCATGGAGTGGTCACCAACTGGGACGATATGGAAAAGATCTGGCACCACACTTTCTACAATGAGCTGCGAGTGGCACCGGATGAGCATCCCATCCTCCTCACAGAGGCACCCCTGAACCCCAAGATCAACCGGGAAAAGATGACTCAGATCATGTTTGAGGCCTTCAACACACCTGCCATGTATGTGGCTATCCAGGCTGTTCTGTCCCTCTACGCCTCAGGCCGGACCACGGGCATTGTGATGGATTCTGGGGATGGGGTCACTCACACTGTGCCCATCTATGAAGGTTATGCCCTGCCGCATGCCATTCTACGTCTGGATCTGGCTGGCAGAGACCTCACTGATTACCTCATGAAGATTCTCACAGAACGAGGCTACAACTTCACCACGACTGCTGAGCGAGAGATAGTTCGAGATGTCAAAGAGAAGCTGTGCTATGTCGCCCTGGATTTTGAGCAAGAGATGGTCAACGCTGCAGCCTCTTCCTCGCTGGAACGAAGCTACGAGCTTCCGGATGGGCAAGTAATCACAATCGGGAACGAACGCTTCCGCTGCCCTGAGGCTATTTTCCAGCCTTCCTTTCTGGGCATTGAGTCCAGTGGGATCCACGAGACAACCTTCAACTCCATCATGAAGTGCGACGTGGATATTCGCAAGGATCTCTATGCCAACACCGTGCTGTCTGGAGGCAGCACTATGTATCCTGGCATCGCTGACCGGATGCAGAAAGAAATTGTCATCCTGGCACCCAGCACTATGAAAATCAAGATCATAGCTCCTCCAGAGCGGAAGTACTCGGTTTGGATTGGGGGCTCCATCCTGGCCAGCCTGTCCACATTCCAGCAGATGTGGATCAGTAAGCAGGAGTACGACGAGGCAGGTCCTCCCATTGTCCACAGAAAATGTTTCTGAATGGACTTTTGTGCTAGCGGATTTATACTTTTCCTTTTTCGAGGTCATAGTGATGGTACGTACTGCTTTTCTCCACTTTCCACTGAGTGAAGGTAAATAGACTATTGCTAGTGTGTAAGCCAGCAACGTCATCACTGTCCAAGGATTGTGGGCGCCTGACCCTCTAGCCACATCTTGACTTCTGTCAACTTAAGGGGAATTCTGATACCGTATTCTGTTTTCTTCACCTCTGTCGGGCTCAAAGAAATGCAGACCTGCTTAAGTGAGTGTAAGTGACAATGAGAAACGTCCTCTCATACGTTTCTGGATGACCACAATTCTTAGGCTTTAAAAACTATTTCGCAGTAACAGATTGTGTGACCCCGTAAAGAAATGTCTTATTAGTGTTTTGTTTTACTTTGTATTGAGATCATGAATTACATGGGTCAATAATATCCATATACATATAAGCACCAGGGAAATATTATATCTTAAAATAAATTAATAAATCTGGCTATCTGAACAGCTAATATGAACTTAACTCCCCAAAACTCATCATTTTCAAAGTTCTATGTTTTGTTTCCTTTATGAAAAAAGCATATTGAAACATCCTGCATTCCTTTAATGGTGTTTATAAATCAGCTATGTTTCCAGTGCAGTGTGGAGGTCAAACACATATTTTAATATCTTACTTACTGAAATTTACTTACTGATAAAATAGTATAGCAACAGATAATGACTAACTTTAAAATAGAGATTGCAATGTCAAATTACTGTCATTATGCTACAGTTTAACAAGGACAAATTTTAGTTCTATTTCTTAGCATAACATGTCTTGAATAATCTCAGTAAGTTACCATTTTTGGATATTTTTCTTATCAAGGGTTTCACTGTGCGAAAATATCACTGCAGTATCTTTACAAATTATAAATTCTATTGTGAATATAATAATTCTAACTTTATCCTTGGAAAATTTTAGAATAACTTTACTTTATTATGTCCAATATTTTGTAGCAATATTTCCTTATGGAAATTATCTCTAAGATACCAACATCTTAGAAAATGTCAGTGTATTTTCCTATAATGCTTAATTAATTTTTTAAATTAATCCAATGTTGATGTTCAAACATTTGTAAGTACTAACACATTTATTTCAATCTATTTTGTGATTTCTAACTGAGTATCAGAACTATTTTATTTTTCAGGTTTTTTCCTGAAAATTTAAAAATTTTTTTGGAATTGCTTATCAAGGCAGTATCAGTTCTTAGGGAGAAGGAATTTCTTCCTTTTAACTTTTAGTTGGAAAACTTATACTTGTGTACTAAACCTCTAAATTGGAATTTTGAGTATTTTTCTTAAGTTTAAACTTTAAAAAAAAAAAGATTGATCATTTATTTTATCAAACAATGCAATTTTCAATGCATTTATCCAAAATTAATCTCCAAAGGTACTTTACTTCCTAAGATTTATTTTCCTTTCTTCTTAAATTTGTTTTAAATAAATTAAAATTGCTTTATACATGTATTTTCTGTCATGTCCTGTCAGCATACAAGTATTTTCCTGTCTCCTCTTTATCCTTCCCAATGAAATAGAAAGGATCCCTTTTTTATTTCTGTGATCTATCATCCATATTTTTAATTACATATGTGATGCATTTGACTACATAAACATTTTTCAGGAAATGTGGCTAGTCAGATATGGTTATAAATGCTTTGTCACCTCAACTTAAAAGTTGGTTTTTAGTGAGTAAATAGGTCTCTAAGTAATTAGTAGGCAATAAAAATAGTATCTTGGATTTATATGCTGCAGAACTTTCTATTTGCAGAGGAGTACTCACAAACCTTCTGACCTACATTCTCAATTACCAGCAAAACACACCCACCAAAAAATTATGGGGTGGGTAAGGTGAATCTCCAAGAGAAAACTATGGAGCCCTAGATCCCCTAGATCATGGAAAGAAAATACAAATTTCATCATGCAATCAGATATTTAAACCTAGAGCCTTTTGATAGTCTGTTCATCAACAATGACTGATAGATGAATTTACTGAGGAAACAGTTCATCTCACAATTTGATATTTTTAAAAATCAACATCATCTATTAAGGACAGATGACTGATTTATTGCCCATCAGTGGTTTACCATCTGGCTCATTAACCAAACCATGTAAAGAAATTTACATAAATACAGATGCCCTGGGATCAGAAATTCTGATTCAGCAGATCTAGTGTGAAAACTAAGAGCCCAAATATGCAGCTCCACCTTGGAATCTGCTCTAACTAACCAGAAGCTAAGACAAGTATCAGGCTCCAAAGACAGGACAAGGCCGCACATCTGCCTTATCTGTCTTTCTCATAACAGACAGCAGTGAAGTAGCCTCCACAGATGAATGGCATGCTGTTGAGAATGGTTTCCGTTCTCTCTCAGTGTGCCTCCCTACGTAGAAACCCAGGGCTGAGGCTACACCACAGTCCTGTTCATTTCTAATCGCCGATAACATTTCTCTGAAAGCGTACATAGTCGGAAGCCAATACCTACACTCTCCTTCCTTAATTTGCAATGCGTTTTTTATCCCTTAGAGGTTTCCCATTGTTCTGGTTGGCAAAGGGACAATCAACTTCATCTTTTGGACTATGTGCTAGCTATGTAGCTGCTGAACATCTATCCATTCCTCCTCTACCCAAAGAGAGAGAGAGGGAGAGAGAGAGAATGGAGAGGAGAAGGGAAAAAAAGGAAAGGGATGGAAGGGAAGGAGGGAGGGAGGGAGGGAGGGAGGAAAAAATTAAGTCCTTCAGTGAGTACCATAGCACACTTAGCTCTTCTAATCTACTCACTTTCTTGCTATTTTTCTCTTATTTCTAAGCTTCAGATGTTCTAGGATTGAATTTCAAACATCAGACTCCTTAATAACTCAGACATAATATATCAAATGTGTATTTCTGGTAATGATTCACAGCCTTCATCCAGAATTTACAAAAGATTCCTTTCAAAAAAATGTTTGAAGTTAAGAACTAAACATGTGGTTTGCCCACTACTGCTTCCAGATGTTGATAAGTACAGTTGGAAGGACTTTAGGGATATATATGTATATATCATTACAGAGACAGCTCATTAAAATTAATTGATACTTTAAAACTTCCTTTTTCAATATGAAAGGACCAGCCTGAACTATAACTGTCTTTTTTTTTTTAAACTAACACCATAAGTAATAAAGACTGTAGAGCCTTCTTGAGCTGCCTGCCTTGTTTTTTATCCTATTCCAAATTGGCTGTCTTAATCACCTTATAATTTTAGGTTCAGTTAAATCTAGTAAACAGATGTGCCCATATGATATGATGACAGATATTTTATTTAGACAACACCCTAACACCACTTGAAAAATAGAAAATCTGATTTAATTGGCTATTTGACAACGTGTAAGTCAAAAGTGAAGTTGTTCTCCCTGGACTTGGGAATGAAGTCTTTGTAAACATATACATGCCATATGACAGTATCTAGTGAGTAAGGAAGATACCCACAACTAGCAAGAAGGAATAGTTCCCACTCATGTGCCCTTCATAGGTGTTTTACAGTTAAAAAGAAAAAAAAAAAAAACCATTCCTAGTTGTTTTAAAGGTTGGGCTCATATATCGACATGGTATTTTAACCTCATAACATCTGCAAATTCTCAGAACATTCCCAAATATCATCCTCTTATTTTAACCAAGAAATAATAACTACTCAGCAGTGTTTATTTTTAACTTGCCTGGCCAACAAGAAGAAAGCCTCATCAATGAAAACAAAGCCATGTTCACCAGTGGGAATGCCAGCATTTTCTAGGGCTAAGTACAGTTTTTATGGTTCATTAATGGAGGTTTTCACAGATATAAAACTTTTTTATAAATTATCAACTACCAGAGTAATTAAAGAATTATTTATGTGAAATATATAACTCCTAAATAAGTTATAATAAAAAATAATAAATAAATAAATATAATATAATAATATAAATATAACTCCTAAAAATAAAATTCAAAAAAAATATATAACATGCTCCATTTTAGCATTTTTAAGGTATTTATTCAATGATGAGAATCAAAACATTACATTTTAGACTAAATAATCAAATTTGTCAAAATAGAAGAAATAGTTGCAACAAAATATATAATTTTAAAATTTTGATGTGATTCAAGGAAATAAAGCTTGGAGCAGAGAAAATTAAATGATCTCAATGAAAAAATCAAAAGGGAGATGCTAAAAACAAGAATCAAAAAGAACATTCTAATTATTTACCTGTCTGGTCTCAGTACTATTTAATTAGTGTTTGACAAATCAGACAAAATTACAAAAAAAAAAAAAAGAATTACCACCTTTATGGCAATATAAAATATGAATCAACAAGGAAGTCTTCGTCATCAACTGAGATGTTAGGGAGGAGTCAGGAAGAAAGGAGTTGAAACTACACATCATACCCAGTGCCATGTTCAAGCCATCACCCATCTGAGTAGTCATTACTTCCATGCTTGAGTCGCAGGGCCAAGAATTGCAGACAGTCTACTTGACTTCTCTGTCAACCGTGGGCCAGCAAAAGAATTCTTCCATTTAGAACGTCAGGTAAGCAGGTTGGGGATAGGAGATGCTGGAAGCCTCGTTTGGGGGTTTTGTGTTGATCTTTTGCTAACCAAAGAACTCCTTTAATAAGAATTGGGTGGGAGGCAAGTTCATACTCCTTCACGAGTAGTTAAGAGTTTAGACTCCGCCTATCAGATACTTTGTTCTGAGATTTTGACACTTGGAATCTAAGATAGTGACCTTAACATGCAAGAACTGTTGAGAAATTACTCACTACCTCAGGACACTGGAAGCCATCTGTAACTGTGCCTTGGTCCCGAGGTAGAATGCTAACTAGACTATTGTTTTGGCATGACTTCAGTTAGCTTTCTTATTCTGTAGTCTTCACTTAGTCTGTCCAATTTCCAAGAATGAAATCTGTGACTACTCATCATTCTTCCAAATATTTCCTTTCTAGTTTAAACTATCTAAAGGCAACTCCTGCTGCACACAGTCAAGTATGCTGATTGGAGCATTTTAATACCAGGGGACAGGATGGCAGGTAATAGACCCTAATGAAATCCAAGTTGGGTTACCTGACTCAATTTAGACTGATAGTAGTAAACCTCCTGCTAGTATTCAGTAAAAGGAATCTTGCAGCACAGAGCA